TTATTATTATTATTATTATTTATTATTATTATTAGCCTACTACTAGTCTTCACACTGCTTGTTCCTTTATCTTATGTCATTTATCTACATGAAGCGAAGCATGGATACAGTGCAAGGCTTTCAGACATTTTAATAAGCTGGTTTGTCATTTCATGCTGAGTGTGTTTAGATTTATCTCTAAATAAATCCATTTTGTCATAGTCTAAGGTGTAATGTTCTAGTGTGTGTCGCAGTCTTTGTCCACACACTTTTACACTTTACTTCATCTAGATCCCTATACAAGCCCAACTGCCAGATACTTGTAGCTAAGTGGTATTCGAGTTGTGACAATGTTAGTCTGCTGATCTTGTTACTTGCTTCCCCATACAGGTGTTTTGTTTGACATACTTCACTGTGTTGAACAATGGACCTGCTAGTTCCTATTTGCACTATTCTGCTTTCTTTAAATTCATCTTTGAGTATTCTCAGTATCCTGTATACTTTTTATTATAGGTTTTATGCATGGTTTAACTAATAGCTTTACTATACAACTAGTGTAGCTTAATTTTTCATTAGTGAAAAGTGTATATTGGAATAGCTTACTTTGCCTGCTAGTCTTTTACCGTATCTAACCAAAACTTGGTTATGCCTATAATACCAACCCTGTCTAGTGTCACAAGGGCCTCGGGGTCCGTGAACTTGTTCCCAGAAGCTGTGTGGTGACCAGGAAATCGTTCACAGTTAACCTTAGGAATTCATTTACTAATTTATGTAATACTGGAGATTATTTTACTATTTTTCCAATAAGTGCCGAGCTTGTTTACCTGCTGTGCTGAAGCTAAGTTTGGGAAGATATTAAGACTTATCATAGTATTTTTAGGGCTTAGATTTGTAGTGCAATATTTGGATATTTACACTGTGCTTACATTCTCTGAATAGGACAATGGGGCAGTGGATATAAAATAATTTAAATTACAGAAAAATATTAATTTAATTAACAAATCTTCATTGTGTTGTGCGCCACAAAACAGGTTGAGAGTTAATATCAAATATGACGCCAGAAACCCAACCGTGGCAGCAGCTTAGAGCGGGTAACGGAGTCCCCGCAACCAGAGAAGCCTACTGATAACTGCGCATGGCATCTCGCCACCACGAATGTGTCTGCGTCAACGCACGAATACCGGTTTATGATGCATAGCTTAACCCCAAGCTATGGTCATGTTGCCAATTTTTATCGATGATCTTGTGTATGATAGTTTCGTGTGTGTGTGTGTGTGTGTGTGTGTGTGTGTGTGTGTGTGTGTGTGTGTGTGTGTGTGTGTGTGTGTGTGTGTGTAGAGTAGAGGCGAGCAGAGACGAAGCTTGCAAGACGGGAAGAGGGCGTGGGTGTTTTATTATGGGGGGTGTGGGTGTCTGACGAGCATAGCGGGTGTGGGGTTGAGGTGCTCGTCATTGTGTTGAGATTGTGGTTGTTGGTTATGTGGTTTGGGTGGTGTGGTTGGGGTGATTGCAGATTGTAGTGAGATTCCTTGGGACGGTGTGGTGCTGTGGTTGACAAGTTTTGGACCGTAGGTATTCACTAGTGGCTGTCGTGTGTGGTGAGGGGTGGTTGTGTGTGGTGAAGGGTGGTTGTGTGTGGTGTGGGGTGGTTGTGTGTGGTGAAGGGGTGGTTGTGTGTGGTGAAGGGGTGGTTGTGTGTGGTGAAGGGGTGGTTGTGTGTGGTGAAGGGGTGGTTGTGTGGTGAAGGGGTGGTTGTGTGTGGTGAAGGGGTGGTTGTGTGTGGTGAAGGGGTGGTTGTGTGGTGAAGGGTGGTTGTGTGTGGTGAAGGGGTGGTTGTGTGTGGTGAAGGGGTGGTTGTGTGTGGTGAAGGGGTGGTTGTGTGTGGTGAAGGGTGGTTGTGTGTGGTGAAGGGGTGGTTGTGTGTGGTGAAGGGGTAGGTATGTGCGGTGAGGGGTGGTTGTGGGGGGTGGTTGTCGCATCTTTTGGGTGGTGGTTGTCGCGGAGTGATGGTAGTGTGACAGTGGGGAAGGATGGTGGGAGTGAAGCGCTGGCGAACTGCGTGTCTGGCTGGCTGGCCGGCTCCAGATACACTGTCAAGGTCATCCCACAATGGTTATGTTATATACCGGTTTAACGTAGGCTACATGCGCACCTCCTGGCCATTGTCTCTACTCACCTAGTTGTACTTGCGGGGGGGGGGGGGATGAGTTACAGTTCTTGGGTCCCGTTTCCCAGCCCTTAATCGACTAGCGTATGTTCCTGACTAATTGGATGCCATGTGGTTTGTCATTATTTGGGACAGGGAACATGTTAGGTTTATCAAGGCAAGATCAATGACTGACCTTCCCCAGGATGCAACCCTTGTCTAGTGCCAAGTGGACAGAGGCATCAGGTGAAAGGAAATGGAGCCCTAAAAAGTCTTCATCATGTCGCGGAAATCAAATTAAAAACGTTTCGGTTGTGAATCGACTGCGCTGTCCACTGCGTCACGACGCATTCAATTTGTTTTCTCTGCTGTCAC